GCTAAAGCCTAAACTACTCAGAGGGACAAATCAGTGGTCAGAGAGGTATACGACCTTTACACATGCTTATGCAAGGCTGCCTTGGTACTCCCAGGCCCAGCAATGACCCCGAGAGGGCCCAAAGGGTCACCAATCCACTGGGTGACCCTGCAAACTTAGCCAGGGAAAACCCTTCCTCAGCACTAATACCCCTAGCAAGTTAGAATTTTAGCGGCAGAGTGTTATCCAAGACTCAGAAATGGAAATAAATAATAGATGGCTGTTTACGATCTTCAATTTTCCAAACCTTTGCCAGCTAGTTACCAATAATGTAGGTCTACAAAGGACATGTATAAGCATGGTCCCCACAAGAATCACAGTGTTTGTTATTACAGGGCTTGCGTTTGGTTCGCTAACCTGTTCAAGGCATCCCTGATTTGTGACTCTGGGCTGATTCATATGGACACTGTAGCAAGGAGACTACAGGCCAACCACAATGCCTCAGGCTAGTAGCCTCCTGGACCCCCACTTCAACTCTGGGATTCAAGGTCTTACCACTCTAAGACAAGAAGAGGCAAGAAAAGATGGATCCAAGGAGAAAGCAACAAATATTTCTCTGAAAGCCCAGGCCACAGCCAGCCTAAGTCAGTTACATATACCCAGGCCCTCTTTCAGGACAATGAAATTGGAGGAGACATGAATCCATTAACTGCAGCCTTTGAGTGTGAGGAGGCAGGGACAGACAGAAAACATCGAAAGTGAGATTTCCAAAAGGCCAGATGCCATGGAGGCAAATCATCCAGGCCCAGGTACCATATCAAGCTCACCCCTCTCCTCCCAGCCAGAGGATCACTTAGAAGGATGCAGTCCACATCAAAGCACCCCTCCAAGGCTGGACATGCCACATAGGAGACAGGAGAGTCTGGGATTTCTACAACTCTTCCACCTCTCACTGGATGCTCAACTGTAAGATGAAGGCCATGAGACCCATCCCCAGTCTCAGAAGGAAGGCAGCCTGTGCCAAGCTTGAGGAAATTGTAAAACACTATACAAATGCAAAAGAGCATTTTCATTATTCCACCAGGTGAGTTCTTAATAAATGACAAAAGTCCTCAAAGAACAAGCATAGGTTCAGTGAGCATTTCCTATTTCAGCACATATAAACACACTCATCTTGGTGCCCAGTGCCAGCCATGGCCTTAGTCCATATGGCTCTTAGGGCCTTTGCTCAAGATGACCTCTGTAACATTTAGTTATTTTCACTCAGGTCCAAGGAGAACTATCCTCCCCTTGGATGTGTAGACATAACAAACCCTCTACCAAAGTTGGTTTCCATGGAGCTATAGAGCTTCTTCCCCAGGGGAATGTTACTCATTCCAATCAAGTTTATGTTGGGTGTTCCCACATTCTGAACCCAGGCTTCGAAGACTTGCAAAAGGACATGGGTCTCCTGGTTTATCTCAGGCCATCCCAGTGCTACAGAGTCAGTCTGCTGTTTCTCAAGAGCTCACACTGTGGCTCTGGAACCACCAGACAGAAGCTCATGGGAAAGTGTGAAGCACTGCAGCCACCTTGGGTGGGAGTTCAGGGGAGTGATCAAAATATAGCTTCCAGTGGCCTCCAAGGTGGGTTCAAATCTTGGCACAGGTGGTATCTGTTTAATGTCTGCACAGTTCTAGAACATGATCACCTATAAACTAGGATAACATAGTGCCTACTTCATAAGCTTATTGCTAGAATGAAGTGAGATAATGTGTGGTAAGAAGCAGCTCAGTCTTGTTACTGAGCATGTGCCGTGCTTCATGCTTTTGGCGTTCCCTTGCTCACACTAACTGCTCCTAATAAATAATAAAACAAACAATAAATAAACAAATGCCTTCCCGTACCTGGGAAGGTTATGACACCAGTTTCTGTGTTCTTTTAACCCCAACTCATGGGCGGTGTACACGCCCATATGTGCTCACGGGCATAGTCTCTTTGAACTGTACATAACTGTTTATGTGCCATCTATTCCTTCCATTATACTATAAACAACTTCAGCCTTAAAAAAGAAGCACTTCACACAGTGCCTCGCTGAATGTACATGGTTCAATAAGTGGCAATTATTATTCTTTGGAATCACCACCCTACATTCATTCTGTTGCAGAGGCATTTTGTATCTTCTAAATTTATAACATTGAGAGTGTCCCTAGAGATGAAAGGAGCATGCAGGAATACAGACATTTGTCAAAGATGGAGTTGCTCTTCTTTCGGCAAGAAGTAAGATGAGAGTCATTTATTATTCGCTGAATTCAGCCGGAAAATTCAATTAAGGCACTAGAGTTTCTGAGTATGTAATTTCCTTTAGGGAGACAATTCCACAGGTGACGCATACCTTGGGTCATAGGACATACATCCTTTCAAAAGCTAAGTGAGCAAAGAGGAAAATCTTCCTTTGGGTGGCTGAATTTGGGGACGCTGTCTTTTCAGTGTTACCCATACCTTCCCAGAGGAGAAACGTCTGCTGAATAAATGGGAGAACGAACCCCCAAGTCCTAATCCCTGCCTCTGTCAGAAGCAGTGAGAGGAAGTAATGCTGGGTTGGATGTTGGCCTTCAGTCAGAACTGAAGAAGAGCAAAAATGGCTGTCTGTGTTCTTTCCACTTCTGAGATGTTGCTTCTAACCCCATAGGACAAGGCAGCAGTGTAGACAGGAACTGAGGGCGCTGCTGCAGCACCACCTAACAGCAAGTACTTCCCCTCCATCATCACTGACCATTTGCCAGCACACGAAGCAGATCTCATGAGCCCATTTTGTAGATGAAGCAACTAAGACCCGGACTCAAGACTATTCAAGACTAAGAAGTCTAAGCAGGTGAAGATGTGAGGATTCATTCTCTTCTTCTCTCACATCTCCATAGACTTCAGGGGTGCTAGGCTCCAGAGAGGTTTGTGAACTCTTCGTAGTCCCCTGAAAACTGAAGAAAAGTGTCAGAGAGAGAGGTGAATCTGAAGAGTGCAGTAGGCCAAAGCATGGTGTAAACCATCCGCTCTTGTGGCCACATGTCCCTCCACATTCCTCTGTCTCTCAGTTCATTTTCTCTCTCTCTTTTTCTCTCTCTCTCTTTTTCTCTCTCTCTTTTTCTCTCTCTCCCTCTTTCTCTCTCTCTCTCTCTCCCTCCCTCCCTCCAATCTATACTGGCAATATATATGTTCACTGTTGTCAGCACATTCATGAGAATTATCATCTGCCCCTCAGCTCCATAGGACAGACTCAGTTCCACAACTAAATAAATAGGTGTGAGTGGGCATTCACACCTTCTTGTACACTTGGGAGAATTCCGAAAGATTCCCTAGATCTTTCTTGAAAGCATACTTGGCCTCTGCCAGGATTACTCAACGCCACTTGGAAGGGGTGGCTGCTATGTTAGCTGCTACTGGCTCTGTATTCAGAAAGCAAGTCCTTTCATGGGGCTCAGCTGTCCCTCAGGCAGCCAGGGAAGCTCGTCACGCAAAGGCTGAAAATGTGACAACTGTTGCAAACAGTCAGCAGCAGCCCATGGGAGTGACTGAACATTCTCTGGAGTAGCCACTTGGTCAACAGTTAAAGCAGCCTATTATCCAGTTTACACAAAACACCCACCAGCTCCATGGCACCAATTACTAAACATCTCCATTCTTATCAAGCTCATGACATACTGCCACATTGCCTTGCCACTAACTGTAACAACCGTGAACACTTCATTGGCAATCAAAGTATACATAAACCAGGGAAAGGGATAGAAAAATAAAAACTGTCTTCCTGTGCTCTGAAGACCACAATGAAAGACTGCCACGGGGCAAAGCCTAGTAGCACTTCACAACAAACGGCTGCCTCCTTCCAGGGGCAAGAACTCCAAGGCTTTCAGGCACGAAGAGTCAGAGAGAGGGGGTCTGAGAGTCACAGTGACCACACCAAACTCTTCTTAAAAAAGAAGTGCCTGCATGCATTTTCCCAATGAGGAATCTGTCCAAAGGCTTTTGAAAACGCTTTCATGTACAGTATTTTGCTTCCAAAACATTACACGATATTTCTCCAACAAATTTATATGTGTTTCCAGGGAACTCCTGGACCAAAAAAGAAAGAAAACAGTACTTTAGGTAGAAGAATGTCTGGCGACTCTTTTGTGCCAATATATTAATGGACTTTCTCTTATAATGGTTATTATTTCATAGAGCAGCCATAATCACTCCCTCATCCGCAAAGGAAATATATAATCCAGCTGTGGTGGCTCCAGTGGAAATACCACATCTGTGGATCACTGGCAATACTCTGGCACTACTGCACAAATCTCAACAGTCCCAAAGTGTTCTTTTTGTACCCAACATGCACATGGGTACACTTTTCTGAAAGTGTATATGAACTTTGCCAAAACGTCTGACTCCTTTGTATGCTGAAAAGAGGTTTTCAGATTCAGATAACCCACATCCTGAGAAAGAGGCTCTCTTGGAATCTTATTCCCAGGAACCAGCTGCAAGAAGGCCCCAGACCTTTCCAGGATGGTGGCCTGTGCCAGGGCCCTGGTCAATATCAAATAGAGAAGGGGAAAACTGGCACTCTGATTCCTGGGAGGAGGTTCTACCGCGAGGCGGACTGGCTGAGTAGCTGGCCCCTGGTTTTCCACTTAGCAGGGGAACAACTTCCTCAGAGGAAGGCGGCTACTGGTCACCCATCTCTCCCTTCTGAGTATGAAGACAACGGATTTCTGAGCACTGGGTGGTAATATTCCAGAACTCGTCCCCAGCCTGTGTTTAGTCTGTCCCCAAAGCCCAGCAGTAAGCATCTTATTTCTAAGCCAATCTTCCCCAGTCCAAAGCGCGCCCTGGGGGTCTGGATCGACAGTACTATAAAGGCAAAGGCAGAGTCTCTGAGCCTAGACAGACTTTTCTCCCAGAACCCACGGCCTGCGGCTACCGTGCTGGCTTGCCGCTCACCCGGAAGCCCTCGGGGTCCCGTCCACCCCAGACAACAGAGCAAAAAAATAAAATGAAACTGTACTTACTGCTATGGCTTGCAGCCTCTCCTTGTGCAATTCCGCCTCTGCCATCCTGGGAAGGGTACACAGGCAAAGGAAAGAAGAAAAAACACGCTGTAGTCACCCAAGGCAATGACGGGTACCCCGGGGGCCTTAGCTAGAACCCGGGCAGAGCCGCGGGGTGGCCGGGGTCTGCTGGGGCGCCAGCAGAGTCATGCGCACCTCTGGCTGGCAGCTCAGCCTCTGGTCCCCCGCCCGCCTGGCTGAGCCCCAGCGCCGCCGCGAACTGCAGCTCACGGTCGCCGCAGCCGCCGGCCGAGCCAGCCGGGGACGTGGGCCGTGGGCAGCCGCTGGGAGGGCGCGCTCGCCCGCGCTCGTCCTCCGCCCTGACGTCTCGGCGACACGCTCCGCCCCTGGGGTGTGGGGGACCCGCCGCCGCGGCCCCAGGCGGCTCGCGGGCAGGCAAGGGACGGGGCGGGGGTGGGGGGTGCTGCAGACGAGGATAGGGGACGAGCGCGCCTTGGGCACCTGGGGCGCCCGCACCCGGCGAGCCTCTAGGGCGCACAGCTGGCGCGCCTCGCTGGCCACGCGCGCTGGAGCCCAAGCAGAGCGAGGGGCGCCTGTGCCCAACAGATGCCAGTGGAGGGGCCTCTGGCAGGATCCGGGACCTAAGCACGTGCTCTGATGTATGGGCCGTGGCCACTGCACATTGTGAACACCTTCCAGTTCATGCCAGATGCTGGGCTCCACGTGAAGACATTGCCAACAGGGAAGAGCTGCCTGGACCACGTGCTTTAGATGGCAGGGTCCTCAAACATAAAGTCACCTCAGGGCAGGTTATGTCTCCAAATAGGCCACTCTCCGGAGAGGCCAGATGTGGCTTGGACAGCTGAGCATTTTTAGTCCTGGGTTCCTAGCTAGGCAGGGCTTGGTAACATAATCTGCCGAGAAACCCTAGGCCACATATTCAGCCACTCTGAATCTCAGTTTCTTCATCTGAAACCTAAAAATAAAATGGAGGATCACAGAAGTTACCTCACACAGGTAGCCTTAGAAATGAATGAGTATATGAAGGTGCTTTATAAAAGGTGTTGCTGACATCGGTTGCTAATGAGAACCCTGTGACATTGCCTCCGAAACCTCAGAGGCTTTTCTATACACAAAGTAGGCTCTGGTCACTAAAATACTTTACCTATTCTTTATCCAAATAGGATACCGTACATTTAAGTGGATCTTTTATGACAGTTGCTGGGTAGGATATGAGAGGTATATAAAGCCTAATCCAAAAGAAAACGAATGCTAGAAACAAACAAAATACCTCTAAACATATAGGGTGGACCTCCTAGAATTCTCAACATGTATAAGAAAACTTTCCTCCACAAAATAAAATGAAACCAGTTTCACTGCAATAAAAAAACCAATGTGACCTTTTTCAATTCACAATGATTCTATTAATGCAGGATTTAGGAAGGTATTTTAAAAAGATGTATGCATCAAATTTCTCCAAATACCAATTTCTTTCCATTCAGCTAATTTGCCCTTTCAACTTTCACAGGAATTTTACCTGTTTTTTGATGACCAATCATGGCTCAGACCGAGGATGGACACATTTGGGTGTGGATGCAACTGTTTGCACCGCAAAGCCAGGCCAGTGCCCGGTTTGACATCCTAGTGGGGTAGATCAGAAACTTCTACTTTCTGGTTAAGACCCAACATTTTCGTAAAATGCTTCATTTTTCTTCATTTCTAGCATAAGCTCCCATAGGACAAGTTATTGGCAGCAAATAAAGCTGTTATTAATCCTGTAGAGCAACTGTGTAACCAACAAAAGCAGAGACTACCAAGATAAGGACCAAGACCAGAGAGGCCGGCAGCTCAGTCAAAGTCCCAGACCTGGGATTTAAACTCAAAGCAAACCTTGCAGAGCCCATGTTTCTAGTCACTAAACACCATGCTCAGTTGGTGTGATGGATTGCAGCAGGCTCCAGTCATAAACAAGTGAACAAGAAATGGTCCTTTCCCCCAGGTATATAGGTATCAAAAAGGAATGATGAAGCACAACAATATGAATCTAGTGAATGTCACTAAAGTCCATACCTCAAAGTGATTAAAATAGTGTATTTTGTACAATGTTTATATAACCACAATAAAATGTTAACAGCATTTAACATTCTTTAAAGTTTGGTAAGGGGAGAGAGAGATGGAAAAGGGCCTGAGCACCCTTTTAAAGTGATCAACTGGAAGGATCTGAACTTCAGAATACAAGAGTCAGGGTCAGGCCACATATTTCACTGACATCTACTTAACAATTACAGCTAAAGAACTGAGAATAGTCAGGATGAGAAAATACAGTAAGAAGGGAGAAACCTCAGCAAAGGAGTCCGATAGCATCATCTGAGAAGTAGGTGGAAAAATCAGGAGAGATTTGTACCAAAAGCCATAACAAGAGGACAGGGAACATCAGGAGGGTCACAAGCTTCTCAGTGGTTGAGGAAGATGCAGACTAAGTAGAGACCATTGGCTTCAGCAGTGAGGAAGCCGGGTCACTTTGGAGGGCACTCATGTGCTGTGTCCAGAGGGTGAGCTGGAAAGTACTCAGGAGTGTTAAGAAAGGAATGAGAGGTGGGGAAGGATCATCCAGGAGTACAAACTTTCCTCTTGTCAGCTCTCTGGATGTGAATGATAAAGGTGGGAAACAGGAAGGAGCCTATGGGAAGCAGAGCCTAGCAGAAGGGCTTTCCAGTCGAGTGAGACTTGAATGTTTAGGGGTCAAAAGGAGGACACATGAAGAAAGTGAAGCTAAAGACACAGTGAAAGGGAAGATAAACATTAGGCAAAGTCTTGGGTTAGAACGAAGGTACTGAGATTAACATCACTGGTTTGTTGAGCCTAGAAAAGAAAGAAGAATGAAATGGGGCACAAGGATGAGGTTGGCAATGACAAGAATGAATTTGAGTTGAAGTCTTGATAGACAGTGGTTGAATGAGTTTGCATCTGTTGCCCTGGTTTTCCCGGTTGAAGGAATCATTAGCTGAAGCTGATGGAGGTAGGTGTGGTCCTTCAGAAGGATGGAATGGTTTGTAAAGGACAGTGGGAAGTAGGGAAGACTGATACATGGCTCCTAACTAGAGATCTCCATCAGAATCATGTGAATACATGCATAGAATTAAATTTCTACAAGGTGAGGCAGGGCTAGAGATGGGCTTAGAGTCATTGTGCTAATGGAATTTAATAGGAATACACCAAAGACTCATGACCAATAGTACTTCCTCAGTGGTTTTTAAGTGTGCTTGATATCCATAAGCAATGGTTTTTACTCAGAGTTGAGGGTTATAAAAACAGATATGGCAAAAAGTCAAAGAAAATTAAAAATTCAGAATGCTAGGCACTGGGGTTTTGTATAGTTAGGAAGAATAGCAGACTTAGGTTTGTTTTTTTTTTGTCTTTGTCTTTTTTTTTCTGAACACTTGTGAACCCCTTTTCCCTTTTTATTTTTGGAAAATTCTCACATTATAAATGATAATGAGAAATAGCGCCACATCCCATCATAGAAGCTGAGAAATGTCAGACATTTGTATTTTAGAGAATTTTTTCAGTCTGGTAGCTTACCTGGTCTTTCCCATTGCCCAAGTCTCCTTCTTTAGACTTTCCATCTATACTATGAGCTACTGAATACAATGTCAGTTCATTCTTTTTTTGCCTCTATCAGCTGGAATCCAGTTCTATTGGCTGTGGCTAAAGACCCTAAATGAAACAGGAAGATGCATGAAATGAATGACTAAGGCTTGGCCAAAAAGTAGAGGGAAAATATTTTCCCTTTCTACACTTCTCCCTTCAAAAAATCTAAGTTTTAGCATTTTTAAATAATCAAACCCTTTAAAAACACAGATAGAACCTAAATTATGCCACTTCTTTAACAAACTTGTTTTGTAGCTATTCCATACTAGACATCAGACTACCAAGGATTAAGAGTCTAGTGCTACAACTATATTGGTGACTATTGTCTTCCTTAAATTTAAAATCTGGAACAATGCATTACAATGATGCACAACGTGTGTCACAAATCACTAGTTCTTGCAGGGATATTGCATTTTGTTGCATAAACACCATTCTGACAGTTTAATGGTTTTTCTGATAGATGCTGGCCACACTGCAAAGCATTCTACAGAGAGAATACAGAATGCTAGATATGTAAAATAAATGTTTTGTTAATAAAATTTTTCAGAATCTGTTTTAAGACCTGAGTCCTTTGGGAACCACAAATTATAGCCTATTCCTTTGTGGGGGAAAAAAGAGTTCTGTAAAGGGAGAGAAATGACTTGCTGAAGCCCATAGTATGAGTAGTAAAAGCTAAAGTCTTGTTGAGCAGCAGCTAGGAGTATGAAATTTCTCAGCAACCTAAAGCTTTCCATTGACAAAAGTGATATTGAAAGAAATGTCAGCGTCCCCAAAATATTTTTATTGGCTCTTTTGCATGGCATTATTTGACCATATATGGCCATTTAAAAACATATGTGATTGCTTCCGTTAGAATCAAATGAAAAAGAACAGTGCTTGGGGTTCTCTTGGATCCTGCAGTTATCGGTGCTTTGGAACAGTTGATGGGACTTCAGGTATGTGCTGTTTTTCTCTATGAGATCCAAACGCTAGATCCATATGGGGAGTTTCCATGAGGCAAGAAGATAGAGAAAGAAGTTAGCAAGAATGCCAATGTGGGAAATAAACTAGGCTGCATGTTGCTTAAGGTATATGTTGATTAAGATCTCTGTGTAGCAGATTCAAAATGAGCAAGCAGAAATCCATCTAAAAATGAACATTAGTATTTCAGTAGGATGATTTCCTTTTCTCTTGGTTGGCTTTGGCAATGTCACTCGACCAATGTAAGTTTCTGGAGAGTACGGGTGGTACAAGGAGAATGTACAGGAATTAGAGCTGGATGCTTTAGAGATTATTTTACAGTTACCTTACTGTGATGCTCTGGGTAAAACACATAATAGATCAGAACTGCAATGTCCTTAGTAGTAAGAAGGAAATAAAAATATGTGATGTCCATTCTCACTGGGTTGCCATATC